ATCATTTGTTTGTTATCCATTTTTTAAAAAGAAAAGAATCCGCAATTGGAAATAGTACCTTTCACGTTAAACTTTAAAACCGAAGTGAATGTGAATTAATAAAAAATCAATGCCTCTTTACTTTATACAGACCTGGCTTGGCTACTTACTCAATTGAAATTTCGTAAGCACACGAAGAATAATTGCCTTAGTACGTAACGTAACGTTATTCGTGTTCTTATATCTCTCACAATTTTTAGTTTTATTTTTTTTAATTTCATTCCATGTTAAATACAACAACAAAAAATTATTTTACTCTTACTTAACTCATTTAAAATATTTCGCTTCCATTTGCTTTTTATTTTTGTTTATGGTAGTAAAGCAAAAAAACAAAAAAAATATTACTACTCATTTTTTATTCTCTTTCGCTTTTCATTTTTTGTTTTTGTTTTACAGTATGTATAATCAATTGAGTAATGTATCTACCCAGTATTCTCTTTTGCTATTTTCATTTTTTTGTTTTTGTTATTTATTAGATTATATGTATACCTGTTCATGAACTGGAAAAATCTTGTAAAATATAATATAGATTCAGGGCTTTATTAGCATCAATAAGACAATGATAAGCCTGTAAAATGATAGAAATTACAAAAATTCTCGAATAGCTTTCCTTAGATCTTTACCTATAGTCGAGGTTAATCTGGAGCTTCAATTCACATATATTCACCTCCCAGTAAGAATCTATTTTTCCCTGCGCATATGAGATTCTTAAAAATATCGTTTTTTATGTTACATCTTTTGAAATTCTTTTCTTTGCAACTCTTTAGTAACTGCACAACCTCGGTAACTAGTGAGGTGTGTCTCTTTGCAGTTTGCGCACCTGGCCTAAAAATAATCTTTTAAATTACATTTTACCGTCTGATTACCGGCATATTTAACACGTTTAGTTCCTCTTTTGCAAAACATTTGTTATATCCGAACTTCTGGCATCTCTTTTATTGCGAGATGGACCCATTTCCTCAAAAAGCTTCAAGTTTTTATGTGCTCAAGATATTCCATTTTATATATTTTATTTATGTCTTCGGCATATAAGGGACAACTTTCAAAAGGTTTTTAGGTCATTTTCTTTTTTTTTAATTTTATTTAAGACATCTACGGATTTGAATCCCCTTCGGATAAGTTAACGATTAATATCTTGTAGGTCACATGATGGATGTAGGTTTCTGATTATTGCTTTAATTGGCCTCATCAGTTTATTTTCATAAGTATGCCGATTTGGCTTTATTAACAACTTTAGTTAATTGTCTAAATTAATTTTAATTTGCAACAAATATTTCCAGTTGGTCATTTCTCACCATGTTTATATTCACGTCAACTCTTTCATTTTGACGATCCTTATTAACTACGTGTGACTAGTTATATAGCTCAGTATTACAGGTGGAGGTTTATGTATTTTAAGTCAGGAATTTTTCCTTGGTGGACGTTCACCCTGGTGCTAGTAATTTCTAGTTCCTGGTAAACTCTTGGCTTTTCTTTTCTTTGAGCTTCTTTCGATAAAGCTAAAATTTAAGATAAAGATAAAATTTAAGAATCCAATCGATTTCTCCAGCCAACTCTTTCTCATCTGTTTTGTGCACGACCACACCTGTTTGGTCTTTTTCGGTGTCATTTGAAACTGCATTCTGCTGTCCAAAGAATTAAACGGCCACTTCTCTGATGTTACATCAAAGATAGGCTTTTACATTTCCTTCATAGGTTTTACTTTTGTCGTCTTCTTCAGAGCTTCCTTTTTATAACCTTCTATGGTTTTCCTTTTAACTTCCCCCATAGAAGTTCTCTAAACGTCTTGAACATTCAGCCAAGCAATTGCCGACAGCCGTGGTCTTTGCCGACAATTTGGTAGATTTCCCTACCGCATTTATATTCTTATTATTGAAAATTTCATATTTATTTCTAAGTTATATAGCTATTAACCGAGCCAGATTTTTTCTACTTCCGTTTTTCTGGAATCAGACACAGACCAGGAAGCTGCCCATTTTGGATTAGATGCGGCTGGATTTTATCCAGATTTCAAAAGACTTGTCTCCATATTAATCGCTACAATTCACCGGGGAATAAGATGGGGAATTCTTCTTCTAAATCCAACACCAAAGATAATGAGAACTAATTTAAGGACACTTCGCGCACGAATTATAATTAGTCTTTTAAATGCTCAACTTATTTCTAAATTAGAATTTCACTTCATATGTATATATGTATTTATTTACTTATCAAAAATGGATGCTTATAACAAGGCTTTTGACGTAAGTAAATTTGTATTGTCTACAAAAGTAATTACTTCACTAAACAAAAACATAAATGTGTACACATTTCCATTATTGACACGTTATATTTAAGTTGATTTTGAAATTTACCAATCTTCGTATAGAAACTATTTAATGGTAAAGTAATGCACTGATTTCTTAAATGTTTTATTAAAACCAAAATTACGGCAAATTTTTTTAGCACGCACGAAATAAAATATACCATATATAGCATAAGAAATTATTTTAATCAGACGAATTACTCAAGCCAAGCATCAATTATTATTCAAATTAATATTGCACGAAAGAGCTAAAACGATCATCATTTAGACGCAGCTATCAGATTGTCTAGCAAAATCATCATCATATGATGAGGACGAAAAAGAAAACGAAATGGTGGCGAGTTAGTAAAGGTAACAGTTCATTAGTATCAGAAACACAACAAAAATTTTTTTTGGAATGCGTCCCGTAACACTTAAAATAAAAAGCAAGTAGCGAAAACAACAAAGAGTTGAGTCACGATACTATGACGCGAATTAGAGCTTCTGCTTTTATGGTCATCTGCCATTAAGAAAGGTTCTCAACAATCTCTACAGTTTTTATAAACTCTCAAAAATTAAAAAAATTGTAGAAAAAATTTTCTTATTTGAAAAACACTTTATAGCTCTTAAACCTGTGCGTCGCAAGTTAAAAGTACAAGTAAGAATGTTTTGCTGAAGAGAATGAAAAAGAAGAAAACACGAAATTTTTAGATATTAAAAAAACAACAAAAATAAATTTTTGGTATTATGATTAGCGAATTCGCCTAAATTTTAGGTATTCATTCAAATATTAGGAGCATTCAAATATGTCGAATGAAAATTCTGTGTGACAAACTTGGCAAATAAAACCAAAAATCAAAACAATATATAAGTGGATTTTTTTTTATTGGATATGATAGCATTTATAATGATATAAGGGAAAAATCTAAACTATCTGAAAAGTAAGTTCATAAAATTCTACAAATTATTGTAAAAAATATTGACCAAAAACAATCCCAGTATTTAAATAAATTAATGAACAACAACCTCAACATTGCTAAATAGGAAAATTCAATTGTTTGTGCAAAAACACAAAAACAATGCACATATTTATGGTGTTAACCAACAGCTTACAGAAACACAGGCCCCTAAAAGACCTCAAAAAGGAGTGACACAGCTCACCAATTTACGCGAATTCTTATGGGATCTATAGGGGGCCCTTTTTAACATCATAAATTTCCCACATGATCAACTTTTTTCAAATTTTTGTTTAGAAAAAGTTAAAATTCAATCTTGTGCTACTTTACTAGTGCTCACATTCTTAAAGTCTTGTATTATTAAAACATTAAAAAGTTGATTTAAAAAAAACCTTCCAGGTTCCGTTCATTCTTTTAAGATTTCAATAAATGCTACACTACAGGAAAAAATAGTGCAATTTTTGTTTCGAAGTATTTAGTTGATTTTGGTGTATTTTTTCAAATTTGAGATATTTCTCCCAAAATGCATACTTCTGATATAATCACGTTTATATGTATACTATATTAATTAAATTTATACATATGCTTCATAATTCATAAAAATTATTGCATATGTGAATTCTGTTTATATTGAAAATCCATATAATTCTTTTTAGGTATGTATGTGAATTTAGCTTTATTAGGAAATATTTTCATTTTGTTGTAAAGATATAAGACAAGTTCCTTTATAATATTTTTATTATGTTTGTTTTTATATAGGGGACAACCTGAAACAACCCATCTTTTATAATGATCATAAAATTTTAAAAGCACATTCATAATTCGTCGTCTCAGGAAGAAACCAGCGTATAACATTTAATTGTCGTTATCCGATTTTATCACCATTAAATTCTCTATAGTCAATTCTATAAGCTGAGCTACTTTATATTTCCCTATCTTTTTATTCTAACGTACTTTTTAAATAAAAATGAAAATATTTTTAGGATTTTTAGGAATATTTTCATTTTTATATATTTAAGCATTTATTATATATTTAAGCATTTTTAGGAACTAATTAATAAAAAAAAGCATAAAATGCATTTACATTGTTTTATTTCCAAACCGTAACTTATAAAGTTGTATAAAAAATAAAATTATGTAATGAATTCTTACACCATTTTGCTAGAAAACTGTTCATTCAATTGTTAATTTCATTACCAAATAAAAGAGTGTATATAACTTTAACATGGTTTCATTAGAAATTTCAAATATTCAATAACAATGTAAAATTTAATACGCTTGTTTAAATTTTAATAAAAAAAAATTTTTTGCAATAAACTAAAAGGTAAAATGATGTACGAACTTCATGCACTGTTTTATATTGTCTTATACACTACTAAATTTGAATTTTAAGTCGTCTTCCCTGGCAAACAATGTACAATTAAAACACTGTACAAAAAAAAACATACGTATACTTAGAATTTTCGAAACAAAAGTTTGTTTGTTTGTTTTCAATTGCAGTTTAAAAATACAATTGTTTAATACATGTAATTTGTTTTCTGTTATTGATATTATTATTAGGCAAATATTTTAACAAATGGGTATTCAATTTGGTTTTGTTGATCAGTACGCAACTAAAAGTTATTATTTTGGTAATAACCGAAGTAAATAATTAACAATTTCAGGAAAAATTTTATACTTACAATAATTATACTTATTTTATTGTGTCACGTAAAACGAAAATGAATAAAAATTTGAATGATGAAAAAAAGGTAAGATTTTTCGAGCAGTCACCAAAAATTCTATTGCAGATTTTGCTTCTGATTCTGATGACAATTCTGAGTAACGCAAGAATTCATCATCTGCAATGGCTAAATAATATTAAGCGGACCAGAAAAATTTACAAAATGTTTAATTGATGAAACGCTTCATAATGAAACCGTTAGCACACTACCCGAAAAAAATTAGAATACTCAAGAATACATATGTAAAAGCGGTAAATTGACAATATCGTAAGCTCCGAAACCATATTTTGCAACTGAAATGCAAATTTCCTGAAGATGCAGTACGATTTTTGAATGAATTAATATTAATAATTCGTATTAGAATCTGGGTGATTAAAGAAAGCAGTAATTATTTATAAAACACATCTCAGCCACAAATAATGTACAAGAAAACTATCGCGAATATCTCGAAAGAATTTTACGCTTTGTTGTACATTCATCATGTATAATAGCAGTTATGGCTTTACGAAAAAGGCAAAAATAAAATTTTCCAGTTGAAAAAGATGTTCGTGGTTCGAAAACTAATGCAAGAAAATATGATAGTGAACTTAAAGAATCATTCGTACAACATATACAATTTTTCTTGCAGTTGAGTCACACTGCACTAGAAAAATTCTATCAGACAAGAAAATCAAATATTAAAAAAATGTACGATCATAACAAAGAAACGAATCCGCGAACAAAGTTGGCGAGCATACATATAAACGATAAATCTTCGTTAGAAGCATTCTGTAGCATTTTACCAAAAACTTGGCCGAAAAGGTTTCAGTGAAGGTTTCAATGTAATGTAAACAACACTTAGTAATCATGTGGATTACAGTATAAAGCAAAGTGAAGAACCTCTGTAGCTCAGTTGGTAGAGCGTCCGCCTAAAAAGCGGTAGGGCACTGATTCGAGTTCGTTTAACTCGTTTCTTTGATTACGTCATCCATCAGCTCCGCAGTTGTATTAAGAAATTTCCATTAAGTTATTATTATTAGTATAATGGGCACATTACTTCTTAATTAAACAAATAAATATTGTGTTAGCAATCCAGTATTATTTAGTCAAATTTATGTAAATAAACTATTTATTCCCCTAGATATGTTTAACATAATTTTTCAGGATAGTAAAACATGACGATCAGACGATTTTAGATTTTAAACTTCATCTTAATTTTGCAAAAAACTTTTAATGGGATTTACTGTAATCTATACCTTTTTTATGCCCTGTTTGTTTCTTAGTCGACGAGTTATAAAACTTAACTTTTTTCATTCACTGTATTATCATTTTTTACTCTCAATTCTTTCGGATATGTTGTCTGACATGGCGGTACAAAAACCTGTCGAAAAACTCGAAAACATATTTATTCAAAATCATACTTAAAATTTTGATTTGCTGTTAAGAAAACTCTAAACTTCATTTTAGTATAAAAATTTTTAGGTTTTAGTCAACTTTTCGTAAAGAAAACTCGAAATAGAAATAGGCAAAAATCATCATTTTTCCAAAAGAAATAGAAAAAAAAATTATTCTTCAGAAATGTCATTTCTCCAAGAGTACATATGCAATTTTACAAATACATTCACCAAGCAGGCAGAGTCCAGGCCTTGATTTTTTGTAATGTCAAGTGTTAACTTAATTATTTTTGGTAGGTTGCCTGATGTCTTGCGCAGCAATATTTTGGATATTGCGAATGAAGCATAATATCGCCGATAAAATATGCGCCGATCATAATTTAAAATGTCATTCGATTCCCCTAGTCCATTCGACTCGCCTAGCCATCCGCTTCGCCGATCATAATAAAGGTATTAATTACTGTTTCACCTTTAGTCATGGTTTTTAAATATACCTATTTAAATATACTTATTATTATCTTTTTATCTAATCTTTTCAAAATTTTGTTCTTGTTTCTTACATACATACAATACTTAACCTTTAAATTACTACTTTCTTAAGTGTACATTAGACTTTCATAAGTAACGTAATTTTATTTAACAGGTTTCCAGTTCGGAATACTTTTCCGTTCACTTTAATAAGAAAAATGATTGTGTCGAAGAGGAATTAATACAAGTTAAAAAAGGAATTACGCTTTTGTAAGTAATTTTTTGAAATGTGGTTACCTCAATGAAACTAATGTTAATTCCGAAAACAGGGAAGCTATAGATAGCGCACTTAAGCGAAGGAATCTTAGAGCATCACAAATCAATATTACTGATGGTTACATTTATAGTGGTACAGAAAAAGGTAATTTATTAGTTTCCCAATGAAAATATGAAAACATAACGAGTAAGTCAAAATTGTTACGCAACAGGACCCGACAATTGGCGTTACGAACCATTCTAATAATACACAAAAGTATGATTTACTATTATAAATAGTTATTAACTAATTAAAATATTTCCACATTTAGTAAGTATTATTTTCCACAAGAGCTATTAACTATTTGAAATTTTTATTTCCTATATAAATGTAGTATTATAAAACTTAAAGTAAAGAGAAAGAAATTAAAAAAAATTACTGCAGTAGGTTTAACTTCGTTATTTATAGCATAAATAAATAATATTCATTTAGACTTATGCATAGTAATAATATTTTGCAAGATTTATTTTGTATTTATTTTGTAGGCTACAAATTATTATATTTACTCGATTTGTAGTTATTATGTAAAGCAAATTATATTGCCTTATGATCTTTAAAACCGATTAAACCCATTTGTCTCTAAGCTTTCAAGACGATTTATAAAGCGTGCTAAATTTGAAAATTTTATAATTTTGATTTACCCAACGTACTCTATATTGATATCCAAGATAGATCTAAATTTTCGAAAGCTCCACACTTATGTGTTTGACAGCCATAGCAAAACTTTAGGTGTTCAACAATAAAACAGAATGTGTTTTATGTCTTTGTTTATTATTAGTTTGTTCTTTATTGCATATTATATTGCGTTATATCGTTCTATATTATTTCGAATATTTCGATTTATTTATAAACCGATGCTTATACCTGAACAAATCGAAGCAAACCAAAAAAAGTCACCTTTTTTTTAAATGTATTAAAGCCATATATATCCATCAGGCCTTCAAGCTGAAAATATTTTCCAAAATTTTGAATCGGTAAAAAATAAAAAAAAAAAATCTTAATGTTTTATGTTTTCGAAGTATGCCGATTGCAATATTTTTTATTTATAAAATTTTTGAGTATTCTTTATGAATCTCCCAGATTTGTTTTTGCCTCCAAAATCCCAGAAAAATCTGATATTGAAACTTTTTAGCCCCGAAATAGCCCTATTTTAAGATTTTCTGAAAAAATTTTTGTATAACAAAAGTACCTTTTCTTTTATACTTTATATTACTAGAAACGCAAAGCAACAAATAAATAACACTTTTTATTATTAGAAACACAAACCGGGAACAAAAAATAAATAATATTCGAAAATATAATGATCTCACATATTTTAAGTTCGAAAAATCGAAATAAAGTTAAATAAAAGTCAGGTTTTATAATACACATCAGATGTTTTGTGGCAACTGAATATTAATGCTTCATTTGTCATTGTTTTGAATATTATGTTTCGTCAGCAAGCTTTAGAAAAATATACATACACAATTCATGTACGTATGTATCTACCTGAAATTTTATTTTTATTGTTAGAGCGAAAAACTGTAAAACGCTAAATTCTAATCCATTCATATGTACATACACATATTTGAATAAAATTATTATTTTGTTTTTGCCTAAACCTTTTCTTTATTTAAAAAATTTAATCCTATATTTTCACCCACAGTTTGAAAGAAACAGGTATCCATTCATAATTAAGTATGTTTGTATTTATAATTTTATTTCTAATTGTTCCAACAGAAAATCTTAAAATTTTCAATTCTAATACATTCTTATGTACATACGTTTATATGTTGAAAGGAAAAATTTTAAAATCTTCGATTCTAAAACATTCATATATATATATACATTTGTATATGTGAATAAAATTATTATTTTGTTTTTGACTAAAGCTTTTCTTTATTTGAATAATTAAGTTTTGTATGTTTACCCCCATGATTTAATAATTATGCGTTTAAAATTTATTTCTGTATATTCTACAGTTTTGAATATTATTAAATTCATATAGAAAGCTTAAAAAAAATTACTCAGGAAGCTTTAAAAAAAATATACATACATACATATTTATGTACTTAAAATTTTTGCGAATTTTTCCAAACTATTATAACAACATTTTTTTGGAAATTTTCTTTAAACTTTATAATAACATTTATCTGTCATATATTAAAAAAAAATAAAACAAAAAATTTAAACAAAACTGGTTATGAGACTACCACACTACCCACCAGGCTACGCAGTACCTTGAATTTTCCTTTATAATTCTATATTTTATTCATATTTCGTATAATTCATCAAAAACCATCCTATTTTACATTTTATATACATATATTATATAGCTACTTCTCAGATGCCAAAAAGTACGGGTACTTCTAGAAAAGCTAGAGACATGGGGCAACAGTCATTAGATAGTGTTTTGCCTCCAGGGTCCCAGAAAAAGCATTAATTCCACCATCCCTCCCCTTTCATCCCCTTCCCTTTCACCCTCTTCCCTTTCACCCCCTCCCCTACATTGAGAAAATCTACATTGTTTTGTAATAAGTATGTGCGTACGCATTTATTTATGTATTCTTTTCGTGATCTCATGCAAAATGTAGTAGCAAGCAAAACATAAGTGTACATTAAACTTCTTGACAATATATTTTTAGGGCAAAATTTAAAAGAAAATGTTATTCTATTGCATTCAACTTTTTACAAATAGCGTACTTTCAAAAAAATATTTAGGACGGAAACTCGCTTGCATTGATTTGTAAGGGTGAAGCTTTTTTAATTTTAATTTAAAAAAATTAAATTATCAATAAGAAAAAGTTCATCTGGCAAATTGCATTGTTCAGGGTTCGAACTTGGGACTTTTTGCATAGAAATCGTATGCTATACGCATTACCCTATACACGTTAGTATTGGTGTTAACTCATTCTACAGTCACACGTTTTACTCGCATCTATTATAAACTCCAAATACATACGTACATGCATTTTAGTAGCGAATTGTTTTATGCGTATACGGTTATTTATCGCTTAAAGTGCTTATTGTAAAAGGTATTTTACGATTTTATGCGACATAACTCAAAGCGGGGTTCTAAAATAAATTACTCAAAAAGTATGAGATCGCAAAGAAACTAATTATTTGTTTAATTATGTATTTTTTGGTAATTATTTTAAGAACTTTTCTTATTTTAAGTTTTATCTTATTATTTATTGGGAAAAAACATATCTATATGTATATTACGGATGTGTTTTTGAAAAAATAAAGTAAACTTAAAATATCTCAGCCACAGAATGGAACACAATTTCAAAACTACAGACATAATACTTGCAAGGCTTGCAATGCAAGCACACACGACTAGTTTAGTATAGTTTTAACAGCCATCTGGATTATAATTATTAGTTTTTGCTTTTTTCTTCAATTTTTTGATATATTTTTGAATTCTATTTTTTATTCAAGAATTTTACTCTGTATTTCAGTACCCTTCCATTTGAAAGCAAGAAAGGTTGCCTGCGCTAAAAATTGTAAGTTTTTTTTTATATGCATTTTTGGAATTTGCCAATGAATTTTTTTGAAATTTAAATTTTAAATTTGAAAAAATATGTAGAATCAGTGGAGCCAAAAATATTGATCAATTTCGTTCACGCAAATAAATCCGACACCCCTTCCATTTAAACTCCATATAAATTTGGAATTTATTTTTGATTTGCTCTCTGAGCTTGACGGTATATATGGCATCAAAAAGAAACAATTTCAGTGATCTGCTATGCCGTTGTTTGATCTTTCTCGTTTTTGATGAAATATCCCGTGATACGTCCAAACATGGCTTATTCTTCAAGAATAAGGTCAGAAGTTAGCAATTATTTATTTTTTCAATTTTAAAAAAAAAATTATTTTTAGCTCAGTTATGCAAGCAACCCATTTTTTACTGATAAGCTTCTCAATAACCTTACCTATTCGTTGATGTTTTATGGATATTCGTTATAGTTTTATAATTAACGAATTTAAATATTTAATTCAAATTGTGATAATCCAGAAGGATTTAAGGTATTCAAATATTCTATTGAAGTATTAACTTGCAAACTATCATTTTCAGAGCCATAATTATTCACTGAATCAATCGCATTGACAGTTTTTTTCACATTTTTTTTTTTAATTCAAAGAATTGCACGTTGCGAAATAATCTGTACATTTAAAACTTGTTCCAAAAATAAGTTGATATATTATTTGACACTTTAGTACTTTAATAGAAAAGTTTGCTTTGGCAGATGGTAGTTTAGAAATAAGTCCTTTACCTACATTTAAAAGCCACTGACTAAAATTTATATTTTCATTTATTCGTTAATAATATATTCTAAGTCTATATGCTTTTAAATTTTCATAGTTTTGTGAAGTACAATGTATTTGGTACTGCACTATTATGTTATCACAATTTTGTATTTAACATATTTGAAATATTCTATTGTTTAGAAATTTAAAAAATATGTGCTGTTTTAAGGATCATAAGACTGAGAACGATTTAAGTCAAAAAATTATTTTCTGTTGTTAGAGTAATATAAAAATTACAAAATTTTTTAGTAATTTGTCATAGACGGTTATTTTTCTAAGATTTTTTAAAAAATTCTATTTTATTCTATTAAATTCTATTTTCTTTATTTTAAAAACTATTAAATTCTATTTTCCAAAGCAGGCTATGGGAAATTTGCATAAAATACAAAATTTTCAATTGGTATTTTATGTGTATACTATTTATGTATGCATGTATTTTTAAAAAATAAAGTTGGGTCAAACCAATGGTTTGTATTGCAGCACTTTTCCCTTCAAGAAGTGAAAATTCTGCTTTTAAATACAGTCTATATATACCTATCAAACTATTAAAATTATTTTCATTCATATACAAAACTATTTCTAGAATTGCATATATTTAGGATGACGCATATATGCAGTGTTTGAAATAAAGCAAAAATTAATATAAAAAGGGGTTAACATATTGCTCGATTTTAAGGGTTAATTGTGTGAGTTGAGAAAAATAATTATATTTTTTAATTTCATGGAATTTACCGCTAGCCTCTTGTGTTTATAAAAATTTGGAAAAACTTGCGGTTTCGAAAATATAAGGTGTCAAACATTCAAATTTTACGAATTTCAAAAGGTGATAACTTGAGAGGGGGTGGAGATGGAAAAAAATTTTCTTCCAACGAAATAAACTATTTGTTAATGTCTAAAAGCTAATTAGAATAAAATTTTTACCTATCTCCCCCCCTCTAGAAGTTATACCCCCCCAAATCCCTAAAAATGGCCTTTTTTAACTATTTGTTGCAATGAAACTATAAGCACTTTTCAAATTTTGCAAACGCATAAAGGCAGCGGCTTACTTCCCCTAGCGCGGTATACTATAGTTAAACTTTAGAAAAACAAAATGGCCGTTCAATTTTACCGTTATCTAAAGTCTTTTTTTTCCAAATTTTTAATTTCGTTTTTCTTCTAGACGCCAGCCTGTAGAAGCTTGGAATTTTAAGGGCTTTTAGACATTAACAAAGAGCTTATTTCGTTGGAAGAAAATTTTTTTCTATATCCACCCTCTCTCAAGTTATCGCCTCTTGAAATTTGTAAAATTTGAATTTTTGACACCTTATATTTCCGAAACTGCAAGCTTTTTCAAATTTCTATAAACACAAAAAACTAACGGTAAATTCCATGACATTAAAAAATATAATTATTTTTCTTAACTCACACAATTAAACCTTAAAATCGAGCATTATGTTAACCCCTTTTTATATTAATTTTTGTTTTATTTCAAAGACTGCATGTATGCATCATCCTAAATATATGCAATCCTAGAAACAGCTTTGTACATGAATAAAAATAATTTTAATAGTATGATAGGTATACATAGACTGTATTTAAAAGCAGAATTTTCACTTGTTGAAGGGAAAAGTGCTACAATACAAACCATTGGTTTGGCCCAACTTTATTTTTATTTTATTTGTACTTTTCAAAAAACTTATTTGAAAAAAAGTGCTTATTTGTTTAGAACACTTCGACACTGGAAGCTGAAATTTTATACACAAATAGATATTTAGAAGAAACTTATTTCTGCAAAAAAAAAATCATTATGCTATTAAATTACCTCACGCCCCCCTAAAAGTTATACCACCAAAGGTATAAAAATGCTATTTTTGGCTACAAATTGTAGCAAAATCACAAACATTTTTAAGTCCCGCAAAAACAGGAAAATGATAATTGAATTTCTAAATACTACAATTTTTCTACTATAGAGAAAATTTTATATTATACTTACTTGATATTAAACTGGTGTACATATATGTATACACAGGGTAATTAAGCAAAGAGTACAATATTATATAACTGTAACAAAATATCTTTTTTTTTTCTTTATTTCATATAATTATATATTTTTTTTTTCCAAAATATACATATTCTACCTTAACAATAAAATTCTAAGATATAATGTAAGTAACGGAAACTAAACTTAGCGAAATAATATACATAGTATAATTCAAAATATAGATTTTATGACCTATAGCGTTAGCTCTCTGGCCTTATAATAATGTAGTACATATATAAAATTTCAACTACTACAGGTAGTATAATAATAAAGATTAATAAAGATTGATAAAGATTCTCATTTATTTATTTATTTATTTGTATTTTAATATTGCTATTATATAATTATTTATTATATTATTATTCTTTAATTTCTATTTGAGTAAAATACGTTTGTGCAATTTGAAAACATTATTGTGTAATATAATCAAAGATTTTCCTTTTAAACATGCATATATTATCGATTTGTTTGAGATTAGTTGGTAATTCATTGTACATCTTTAAGCACACATATAAACATTTCTTTTTCTGTCTATCAGTCCTAAACAATGAAAGATAGAAGTTAGATTGATTCCTTGTGTTTCTGCCATGTATATCGAAGTTCCTATTAAGAATAAAATTGTGTTTCATTTGATTATGAATAATTTTGAAAGCTGTTAAGTACATTTCCTTGATACACAATTCATTGAAGCTAAACTTAAAGTTTCTAAAATTTTTACACAAAATTGTGGGGATGAAGAAAATTGAAAAAATACAAAATGGAAAAAATTGACGTTTTTCAAAAGTTCGAATGCTTGATATTCCGAAAGTATGCAGAACGCAAAATCAAGAAGTATGTTGCTTTCAAGCCCCGTACTAGCCCTTTCAGAAACTGTGAATTTGAGGTTTCTACTTTTTTACAAGGGAAGTTACAAGCAAAAAAGCTTCGGCAAGTAAAGTTTTCGTGAAAATTCGTTAAAATCCCTGTATCTCCGAAACCGTTGAGTTTTGACAACTAGTTCCAAACAAAAATTTAACCATTTTTTATGCCCTAAACAATGGTGTATAATATTGTACTCTTTACTGAATCACCCTGTATATAAAATATAAATTAATACAAGTTTTTTACCACAATTCAATAACCTAAAAAATCCGACAGATATTAAATCAAATATATTTTGGAAATTATTCGTATAAAATTTATTTTGATAAGTATGTATGTCGGTACACACGTCTCTTTTTGTTTCATTCGTTTGAATTTGTTTCTATAAGACAATAATATTAAAATTCATAAGTACATATAAGTACATAGATATAGATATAAGTACGTATGTATGTATGTACATATTTACATTATGTTGCCATCGGAAAACTATAAGTTCTCAACACTTGCAATACAAAAAAAAACATCTTTCAATACGTCTTCAAAAAAAAAAGATTCAAACACACCGCAATGTGTTATGACGAAAAACTCAAAGATCGTTACCCAAAAGTAGAAATAAAAAAAAAAGTTTTTCTTTTGAAACTTGCAATTATTCTTTATGAAATTAGTTTCTTTGGTTATACTTTGCAAAGAAACCTTAAAATATTTAAAAATATTTCCTTAATTTAAAGCATAATACTTTTGAATAAAATCACAAATTTAAAAAAATGCTATATTAATTTTTTCTTCCTAAAAATAATAAAATGTACATACATAAGCATATATATATATATATATATATATATATATATATATGTACATAGTTATATATATATATACATGTATATCTATATATATATATATGTATCTTACAAAAAATTTAATATTTTTTGTCAAATTAAAATGCTATTGTTAATTTATTTAAAAGGGTCTCCATCATATGCATGTTCGATAGATGAAAATATTGATACTGCAAACTTACCTGGCAGGATTCTTATTGTAAGAGAAAAGAATGATTCCTATCTAAAAAGCTCTAAAGCTGGAGGATTACAGAAAGCAGCATCTTTTGTAAATTCAAAACATTTTAACTTTTATCTTAGTTTCAATAATTAATTTTGAAAGCAGGGATCACGCACTAGACCGTCACGCCTTTTGTCATCAGCTTCTACAGAGGAAACCAGCTCCGAACCTGATCCAAAGACTATTCCTGCAAAACAACTCAAGCAGAGATGGTCCGGTCTTTTTGGTGTCAAAAATCCACAACAAAATCAATTATGTGAACTTTTAAGTAAATTTTCAAAATCAGGGGGACCTCCAAAAAAGTATAACATTAAACTAGAACATCAAACTTGTGAAACTGATGCCTTAAAATATTTGAAAAATAGTCATAAATGTTGGCGTGAATTTATTTATTATGAAAATTTACCTGATAACGAAATAAAAATTCAGTCAGCAATATGGGAACTTGTAACAACGGAAATTGATTACATAAATACTTTACAAACCGTTACAGATGTAATTTTTTTCTGAAACATGTTTCGTTTTATATAATAACTTTATTTACTCAACAATTAATTTATTTTAGTTGTTTCTAGCCTGCTTAGAAGCTATTCAAGAAGAAAATATTTTAGCAGATGTTGATCAAAACAAATTGTTTTCAAATATTCGCGAAATATGTGAATCCAATATAAAATTTTGGGCATCGTATTTATTCCCAATGGTTGCAAATAGTATTGCAAACGGTTCTCCCCTACAAATTGATTATTTTGAGCAAGGTTTTGTCACATTTGGTTCAGTGTTTTCCTCTTATAAAGTTTATTGCGCTGAACAAAGTACTTGTCAATTTTATTGCAAAGATTTAAACCGAACAAATACCGTATTTACAACATATTTGGCATGGTGTGAATCACAAAAGAATTGTAATCGATTGCGTCTTGCTGACATACTTGTGCGACCAATGCAAAGACTGACTAAATATAGTTTATTACTAATAGCAATAAGAAAACATATAGTTATTGAAAATGATGGAGAAATGCTTGACTCAATGGTAACAAAATTGTTTCTTATTTAATTAATAAAAAAATATTTCGTTATATATGTAAATACATATACATATATACTTTATCGTGTCGGTTTTTATTCGCAGATTCGTTCTGTTGAAAATTTTGTTTACAGCGTGAATAACCACTTATCAACCAGACAAGAAAATGAACGTTTAAAAGGCATCATGGCCCGAATTGAATCATATGATGTTGTAGTAAGTGAACCTTAACTATTAAATTTTTCAGTCGACTTAAAAAAAATAAAGTTTAAAAACATTAAATTACTTTTAGGAAACTAATAATGAACAATTAGAAAAACTTGTCAAACAATATAGTCAAATGTTTGATTTGTGTGCGCCTATGAAAGGGTGTTCCAGTCAACACTGCCGTCATTTGTTCATGGAAGGCGATTTGAAATTAAAAGATAGTGCCAGCAAATCAGATGTACATTGTTTTTTACTAACAGATATTCTTCTAATATGCAAAACTATTTCAAAGAAAAATCAGGGAACCCTAAAAGTAATTCGCCAACCCTATTTCACAGATCGTTTAGTTATAAAATATAAAGACAATTCTCTTCATTGTATTTACTTAAATGAATTTCAAGTACCCACTTCAGCATTTTCCTTACAATGTTCGGAAGCTAAAAATTGGCATGATGGTATAACGAAAGCGAAACATATCTACACAAGACTGAAGCAAAATATACAACTGGATATCAATTTACGAGGCTATAATCAGAGCACTAGTGATGATAATGTTAATATACTATGTGTAAGAAAAAGTCCCTTGAATAGCTCTAAGGGCAGTCGCATCTCCAGTTTAAATAATAGTCACAGTGGATCTGTTGAACTCAATGATTCAAAAAATATATCAATCGATTTTGAGAAAGCGAATTCCTTATCTAGTGATGAGAGCACACACTTCAGTAATTTTGTTGTTTTAATTTGTATACATACCTAAAAATTAGACTTTAATTTGATTAAATTTTAGATAACCAACATACAATACAGAAGACAAAATCATCTACAACAGTTGACACACAAAAACAAAAAACCGCAACGGCAAACACGTTGAGTGTGGAACCACTTCATAGCTTGGGTCAAAGCTTGCCAAACTTAACTTCACCACATAATCAAGTCAGGTAATGAATTTAAATTATTAACTTTTATAGCAGCCGCTATCAATGATTGTCATCATCACATGCAATATTCTTAACTTTGTGATTGAATTATGCTCCCCATAGTATTGCCAAATTTAATTATTTAACTGCCTTTGAAAATGTTTTTTGATTTCTAATTTTAACTCATACAAATAAAAATTAAAGTGTCCAATCACGTTGTAACGTTAAAATAATTACAACCACTTGTAGGCAGTATTTTGTTTTAAATCTTGCAACTCAAAGCTTGACGTTTTAGCTTACATAAAATTTAATTATTTATTTAAATTGCGTAATTCCGTATACCGAATAAAGTGTTTAAGTTTAGAAAAGATATATTACGTTAAAGTTAAAATTTTTATTCAAAAATAATTTTAAATTTATTATTTTTTCGGATTAATAAATTCATTATGTTTTTGGATAACATACAATTTTTGTTTGCACCAACACCACTAACAACTAATTTCACCTTCTATCATGAAAATATTAAGCACACATAATGAACAAAATAATTCATAATAAATATGCACTCGAAACTGTGAACTCCGTATTATAAAAAATCCGGAAATGAATAGTTGTGATTTTTATCATACTTATAGTAACAATACTCTGCTTGTACCGGAATACGGAAGAGGTTGTTCCAAAAACAATTTATTATCATCAAATCATCGTGGAATATCTTACCCGCCACCAAGTCCGACAAGGTAATGTTTTTTTAATAGAGTTTAAATTATTGAATTATTATTTAAATAATTATATACACAAATACGCTTGAATTTGTGCTTTTTGTAATCCAAAATTTAATGACTGCATTGTTATTGTTTATTCATTATAATGGTATCAAATCTAGGTAATTTTTTTAATAAAGTCACCCGTAAATCACCATTCGTAGTAAAGAGGAAAATCCCATTTCACATAATATCCGTATTAATGTATGCTCGATGAGTATGCTAAATTTGCCTTACTGTTTGTAACGCTAAGAAATAATGGTCTAGATATAGACTCAAGTATATGTTTTTGATCAGTGTCGAATTCTGAATCGATTTAGCTTTGTCTGTCCGTCCGTCCTAACGATAACTCAAAAACTAATTGAACTAAATTCAACAAATTTGCAAAAATTATTTATTATAGCAAATACCAGAACCCTATTTAAATTGGATATGTTCGAGGTATTGGTTCGGGTAGCTGTCATACAACTTCAAAACTTATTTGACTATATCTTAGAAACAATGAAAGCTTTGATATTGAAATTTCGCACATATAAATATTTTAGTAGGGCCGATATGTTTGACAAGAAGACGTTGAAATATCTTGGCTCCTTCTGGAGCTGCCATACAGCTTCAAAAGTTATTTGGCTATATCTCAGAAACTATAAAATCTGTGACTTTTAAAGCAGCCACTATCTATTTAATGATTGTCATCATCTTATGCAATATTCTTAACTTTGTGATTGAATTGAAGCATTGCCAAATTTAATTATTTAACTGCCTTTGAAAATGTTTTTTCATTTCTACTTTTAACCCATACTAATAAAAATTAAAGTTTCCAATCACGTTGTAACGTTAAAAAAATTACAGGTATTTGTAGACAGTATATTGTTTTAAATCTTGCAACTCAAAGCTTGACGTTTTAACTTAAACTATAAAATCTGTGATATTGAAATTTCACGCTAGCGAATAGTAGTTGTCAGATAAAAAGCCAATGTGTTAGATAAAATTGCTTCGATGTCTCAGGTAGCTGCCGTAGAACTTCAAAAGTAGTTTGGCCATATCTTAGAAAATATTGAAAACACAGTACTGAAATTTTGCATAAATTAATATGGTAATTTAGCAACTAAAAGTCATAGTCTGTCTCATAGTCAGCTATGACATATGTATTTACTCGTACATAAGATAGCAAATTCGTACGGGTATTACAGAGTTGACATGGTGAACTCTATTTTTTCTCGTTGCGAATAATTTTGCTTTTGCAAAATTGCAACGAGAAAAAATTTGCAAATTGTACGTATGTATGTACATGCTTTTTAAAAAAAAACATTGTGTGCGAAGTATGTGCATATGCATATACAGATGTACATTTGTTTATATTTTTCTATTCTCGTGTCTTGTTCGAGTCAATTGAATGTTAAGTTATTGCTATTAAATTATTGAGAAAAATATGTGAGTGAGTTCGTTTTGGCTATGTCAGGGCTCGAGAACTGGACCTTACATATTTGCTCATATAAAGAGAAATAATCAACTAAAATAATGAGCCTATAAGTTTTTACCTATAGGGCTTGGAAACTGAACTAGAGTATTTTCCATTTTTCACCGTATCTGCGGAATATTTGAGTTCTAGTTATTACCAAATCTAAGTTTTCAGGGAATTTGTATGGCACAAAGTGAAGCTTTACTAAAAATTTTCATTTTTCTAAGTATACGAGTAATATAATTAAAAGCTTACTAACTTCCTCAAAATTGGAAAGAAGTGTTTGAAAGTCATTTTAATAGTCCTCTGCAACACTTTCGTTAACTAGACTATGCACATTGCAATTGGTCGTATGCGAGCACATTTGATCTTTTTTAATTATTTGAATAGCTGTTTTTCTTATCTTAAATCCTGTGAAAAATGTTATGTACCAATAGTTTGGGTAATATAAAGGTTTACATTTTTAACATTTAATTATAAAAAAATATTTTTCTAACCTTAATCTTCAAGAGTCTTATCATCCTTTTGGCCATAATAGGATGTCCAGGCCAAAAATGGTAGAGCAAGATTGTTTGTTTAATCATAAACTATAACGATACAATACGTTAAGCCTAAACACAACAAAAAGAAACAATAACCCTTCAAACAGTGCTGAGAGAAAACGAAGAATAAAAATTTTATCTGAAATAGAATTAGTAACTTCAAGCACAAAAAACTTAAGTCTGTTTTCGAGATAAATGAATTTAAAACTTTAAAATAAATTTTGAAAAAAGTTATGAAGTTTTTTGAACTAATTTTTTTTTCAGCCAAAGATAATTAAAAAAAGAAGCGATTAACTTAGAATCTGTAGTAAAACAACTAATAATAGTCTCATAATAATGTAAAAGGTAAGATATGCGGTTATACCAAGTTTATAAAAAGCACTTTGCAAAGTATATCTCGACTTAAACGATTTGTGAAAAATTACTTTGCATTTTCGTGAAATTTAAGTCGATTTAAGCTGTTGTTGCAAAACTGAAGATATGGTTTTATTTAACTTAAGTTCTATTGAAAAGGGAAAATATATATACAAAATTTCTACGTTATTTGATTTTTCACTTTTTTTTTCAAATCATTGTCTAATATAACTTCATTGTTAAAAATTATTTCTAAAAATTTAAAAATAATTGTTGCATTAAATTTAAGAAAGGTGACAGTATATTATTTATTCTCCCTCCTTCTTATCTGCTAAATCTCCAGTCTTAATCGTTTTGTTAAAATTATGAAAAAAGAGATCAATAAATTACATCAAGTACTCTAAGTTTTTCTTTTTGGGACTAATTTTCTCTTTTTCTTCAATTTGGAGTATATCTTGAAAATCTGACTAGTTAACACATCGTCTTAAAATACAACCACTAGTTAACACATCGTCTTAGACCACAAAGGCAAAACAATCATCAATGTATCATTTTTCCATGGGAACTCCGTTGGTTGAAAAAAGGCATTTGTAGCAGGTAAATCACGAAATGACGTACAAGCTTATCTGTTAAATATATAATAAAAACTATTACAAATCACCGAAATTTTTTGAACGCCTTGAACGCCAACTTTGCAATATCTCATTAGCAATAAAAGTGAACTTAGGTCGCTTTCAAACCAGCGCATATTATGAGAATTGAGAACAACTTTTTTTCGTTGTCTGTATTCTTTCTCTTAAATTCCGATCAATGAGACACTAAAAACCTTTTTCTTATTAGCAGTTTTCATTATAATAATAAAAAAAAGAAATTTAATGGATAAAAATGTTAATGGTAATTTTAATGGGAGTAAAAATAATAACTTTATGCAAAGATCTGATTTTCCCCGTCATGGGCCAAGCCAATGGTCAGGAAATCTCCGGATGAATTCGGGCCAATATCGCCAACAACGTTGTTTTTTCTATATTTTCCACCATGGAGGTGGAAAATATAGAAAAAACAACACCTAAACAAGAAAATAATAATATAGATTTTTTTATTAACCATCAATTTTGAAATTGATTATTTAAAAGGTAGGGAAAATCGTGTCGCCGATTTTCTGAGTAGAATAGAAAACGATAATACGATAAATAGTAAGGTAATTGAAGAGCAACAAAAAGTAGTACAAAAGTTAGAGCAAAAAACTGAAGATGTGGCTCTGACTGTGGCATTTTTAATAATGGTAGCGCTGAAACGATAGACACGGTAGACGACGGGAACTGTACTGTAACGATGGCTATTGTACACTCTGCAACTGAAGAATTGCTACATCATATTCCTATAAAGGAGGAAATAGTTAATTAATATAAAAGTCAAATAATAATAACGAACAATAAAAGTGTAGAACAGGAAAATATATTAGGTCGACGGATATTCTATATTGCCGAATATGATTTTGCCAACTTAGATGAAATTCTAAAGGGATTTGTGAAAAAAGGTAAAACAGGAATTTTCTCGGAACTTTCTGATAATCGTTATAACGTAGTACAGGAGAAACTTATTCAGTTATTTTCTAATGATAACAGTATAAAGTTTTGTTATGTTCTTTTAGAGCACAGGAGTTGAATACAGAGATGGAAGCAGTAAAACAAATATCTCTTTACCATGTGGGAGAGAGCTTACACTCTAGAATTCAAGAAACTTATAACAATATAAAATATAAGGTGTATTACCCAAATTTATTAGAGTTAGTTCAAATGGTAATAAATCAATGTGATTTGTGCCAGGAAGTCAAATATGACAGAAGACCTATAGAACAAAAGTTTAGGCTGACAGAAGCTGCTAATGATATTAATGACATAATACATATTGACACTTATACAATAATGAAAAATGATTTTTTGACTGTTATTGACAAGTTTTCCAAATTCGGTGCCGCCTGTCACTTACCAAATAAAAATCAGTTAACATTAATTGACAAATTAGAAAGTCATTTTAGTAAATTTGGAAAGGCAAATAAAATAGTTGTCGAGAATGAATTTAAGACAATTCACATACAAGAATTTTTAAAAAATGAGGGAATCAGCTTAAACTGACTAAACCTAATAATCACACTGGTAATAGTGATGTGGAGCGATTCCACAGTTCAATAGCCGAGAAATTTAGAATTTTAAAATTATCTACAAAAATTAAGTTAGTACAGAAATTTCTACAGCAATCCATTCGCAGCTATAACTCTAGATTTTTTTCAACAATAAAAAATATTACTAGTGATGTTCAAAATCGGACTGTAGATTTTGACAGTGTAAGGGATAATTTAGCAAAAATACAACTGAAAACTACATAGAAATTTAATAAAGATAGGGAAAGCTATTGCGAAATCAGGTCAATCGGATTTATTAAAAACTATAAAGCCGTAAGACATAAGGAACAACCCAAATTTAAAAAGTATAAGTTGCAAAATATACACGTTTCAAATATTAAAACACCTTTAAAATTTTCAGGTATGGAATACAATATGTTTTCGTTAATGATGATGTTACTATTGATACCGCTTAGTCGGGAGTTACTTGAAGCAAGTC